AATTTAGTGTTGTCCTATTTATTGCATCTGTCATAAACAACAGTCTCCCTGCGGTTGACAGGTAGGGAGTCTCTAGGAAACTGTGTGAAAACTTTAACAGCAGTTACAGCAGCAACATACATTTGCGGGGAGATTCCCCCCGAGCTGTTATTCATCTAGACTCTGTCCACCGAGTGGGCTTTAAAGGGCTGCAGACCGGCTGGCCTGAGCTGCCAGGGCAGCTGGTCTCTCTGGACAACACTATGCGTGAAGTGAGGCACAGGCGTAAGCCAGTGTAGGGTCAGGGCTGAGGTAAAGAAACAATAAGGCTGGCAAGTGTCCAAACATTTTTCAAAGGTATTCATGCAGCAATCACAAAGGCTCAGCTAATCCAGAAAAAGTTGGTGGGATAGTTCTTACTCTTTAATATTCAGTTGCTGGTGTGCAGCTTGCTTCATGAGATGAATAAGAACGGATTCTCTGCCCACAAAGTTTACAGCTGATCTGCACAAAAGCATGTTGACCTGCAAGTGCCAGACTCCTCCCGCCATGAGGCCTATCAGTTGAATCAAGTCTTAGGGAGTGTGCAGGAGGAGGTGAGGGCTCAAGGAGGCATCTGCTGAAAGGTCACTGGGAATGGACAGAACGGTACTGTTTCAGTAGGGATGGGGAGGGGGCCAGCTCTTCTATTTTGAAGAGTATTCAAGGGGCTACTTGCTTACTTAAGCACTTGTTTGGTTGTTTGCATTTATTTTCTGTATGCATGAGGCCAAAAAATACTAGAGGTATTGCAGTACTGCAAATTATGGAATTTACCTCCTTACAGCATTCCATTTCCACCATAACCACGTTGCAGAGAAGAAAATGAGGAGATGGGCATTTCTTTCACTTCAGTTTGCTTTTAATTTAAACCCACATAGGACCCCACTTCTTATACTCCCTTTCACCAGTCTCAGTGAAGAATAACTCTACCAAAGTCAGCAAGGCTGCGGTTTATAGTAAACGCCAGTAGCTCTCCAAGGATACCTGTCTTGGTGTGAGACGAATATACCTTGTTTGCATTCAAACAGTGGGATCCTGGTCTCTGATGGTGCCACTCTAGGGGTAGCCAGTGATAAATGAACTCTGATCAGTGCACTGACCGTGGAGTCAGTGGGGTTTTTATTACTGCACGGTCCAAAGCAATGTAGTTATAATTTCTGGTAGACTGTACTGCCAGGAATTATTTCTCAGTGACAAAATGGAAAGAAAAGGTGAAAAGGGGGTGATAGGAGGGTCCCACCCTAACAGCCTAAATCAGAAAACTGGCAAATGAAAACAGAACAATCAAAAAACAAAAGAACAAACAAAACTAATAATGCTAAAAAATATAGGGAAGAATTCTTCAGAATATTAGTTATTCCTTTAATCGTTCCTTTCCTAAGTTTGCACTCTGGATAATGCTGTGTGCTTTTACTAGCTCTCATTTAAACTTGCTGCAGAGACACTCACACCTGACGGAGGCATGGGAGGCTGCCAGCATCGGGGAGTGCTCCACTGAAATTGTATGTGTGTAGGTTGTCGTCTGACAGAGTTACTTCTGTTCTGGACACTGCTGAAGGAGGCCTCACTGGGATGGCCTCCCTAGCGCAGAAGGCACAAGCAGTTTACCAAATGCAGCTCAACTTCCAAAAGCCTTGGCAGATGGAGAAGAGGTGAACATTTCTGCAGCTCCATCCTCAGGCTTATTTATTTAGACAGTAGGTGACTGGGCAAGAGGTAGCTATTTTCTTCTAAATGTGCACCCAGTGCCCTCGGCAAAGTTGCGTTGTTATCATTGCTGCCACAGTACTGAATGTTACCCCCACTCTCCAAGCTTTCAGTTTTCTGTTTGCCCTCTGTCTTTTCATTCCTGTGTTCCTTTTTAAAGAGGAGACCTTTCTGACCGCTATGTCTTTCTTCTGCTGAGTAATTCCACCAGGTGTCTGACAAAGATACTTCTGGAGACCAGATATTTAGCTTTTTCGTTGCCAAATGAAATTTAGCAAAGGATACTTCTTGGCTACTGTACTAAAGCTTTTTGACACTACTGCAAATTTCTCTGTAAAACAGTAACCAGTAGGATAGCTATGGCTCCATGCATGCACAATTTCACTGCTGACACAGTCAGCAAATTGCGTTTCAAGTAGTTTCTGTGTTTGCTGGGGACCGAGGCTATTTATTTATTCACAGACATGATAAACATTGGTACCTTGTGAAGGGCTGCATGGGTTTATTTCCAGTTTCACACTGTACCCTTCTCTGTAGATAGCACAAGTCAAACTTTTCTACTTATTGGATATATGGTTGAATGTAAGAGTAAAAAATATCAGTAAGAAAACTAGGATCAATGACAAAGAGTGGAGGAAAAAATGTAAATTAAATATAGGAACAAGTAAGGCTTTTAATTCCTCCCCCCATCATGGTCCTTCATTAAAACCTAATGTCAGAGCATGTGGGAAAGCCTTCTTATGTATATTTAAAGAGTTTATCTACAACTAAGATCTGTATTAAACAGGAAGCAAGGATCTGGGAGAATTCAAAGAGATTAACTAAAAATAAATCAGACATTGCAGAGAGGGAGAGTGAACGCTGTGGCATGGCTTCAGCAGTGGTTTCTGCAATTAGATGGAGAAAGGTTCACAGCAGGAGTCTGCAGAGGAGAGCTGGGTACTGTGGCTGGTAGGTTTAAAAACAGAACATGAGTGCAGTTTCTGAACACTGGTTACCGGGTGTTAATGGCTGACACTGTAGGTTACTGTCCTGGGTTTACAAAAGGCCAGCAAGGAGATTGGAAAGCTCGGGTTCGACTGTGTACAGTCCTGAGTGCATTCGGCTCCTTTTGAGGCAGAAAATGAAGTTACTACTTGTTCATAAGTCAGAGCTAACTTGGGCCATTTTCTCCCGGCTGGAGGGAGAGCTTTGCCTTATGGATCCACAGCATGTTGGGCTGCGCTTCAGAGAATAGCAAGGATAGGTTTATCCCAAACCCGCTGAATCAACCTTGTCCCCATGCGCTGTATCCCAACATCTGTGCTGTGTCATCAGAAATCCTGAGTTCCAAAATGCTAATATAAGTATATTTGGGTGTCTATTTCTCCTCTCTCTTTCCCGAGCCATAACGTTGCAAGTGCTAATGTACTAAATAGTATGGAGGGGGATTTGCTGAAGGATGTAAATATTCATAGGTCTTCAATGATTTACGTTATAATCCAGAAAATTGACTTATAACTCCATGCTGATTTTCTTTCACTCTGATTTTCATATGCATTTAGTGTAGGATGATTAAATACCTGGAGCTCTCTTCGGTCCAAACCAGACTTTGTTTTCTTGATTTGGAAGTGTGTTCTTCAAAAGCTGGCAGCTCAACCTTGTACACCACTTCATAATCTTTTTCTACAATACTTCAAGACTTTACATATCTAAATAAGAGCTTTAGGATCACTCCTGTCACTCCCATATCAACCATACCCCACAGTAAGAGTATTTAACTTTCCCCTTCAAGGAAAGGGGACTTCACTATCAAGACTGACAACTGCATGGTCTTGCATGAGTGGGAGGCCAAAAAGCAGAAGAGTTGGCCTTAGAGTTGAGAGCTTCAATGCTCATTCTAGTCTCTTGTGCTTAACCTATCTAAACCTTACAGCCACACTAAATCACTATATGCCTTGTGAAACTTGGTCCTATTTCAGAAATCCTATTCAGGTACTGCTATGGTGTTCCCAGGGCTCTACGTATGGCTGAGAGCAGGAGTGGTCCAGGCCTCCCAGTCTGGACGGGTCTTCCATTCACTTTGATGTCCTTCAACAAATGCTTAAGTGTTTGCCAAACAAAGCCTATATTACCAGCCTCTAAATTTCTTGTAATGTGAAAAAGACAGAGGGCCTGTCTGCCTAGCTGTCACCCCTAGGTATGTGAGTGTAGCAGGGCTGGTAAGGGCATGAGCGAAAACGCGCAAGAGCAGTGGTAGCGCGCACTCACAACCACAACCCAGGCACTCTAGGGACTAGCTCCAGCTCTTGGCCAGCGTTGAATGTGGGGCCGTTTTGTCTTCTCTGGCATTTCCCAGCTAGATTAAGACAGTGCAGCTATGGTGGCATGCTCTCACGCTGTTATTTTACTGTGTAGACTCAGGCATCTGACGTCTTTTAGGACTCTGAAGTTTCATGGAACAGCTATGATCTCCTCTGAAGAGTTTTTAGTCCAGCTGGCATTAGGTGTTACAGTTTTTTTGGTTGTGGTGGGTGGATTTTACCCAAAATATGTAAGCTAGTTCTGGGTTACAAATTAATTGAATGTAGATCGAAGATGCAGGTTTGGTAATTTGGCTATAACCTCTTAAAAGCCACTTGCAGTTTCTTCTGATGGAATAAGCCGCTTTTCTTTTTTTTCTTTTTTTCTTTTTTCTTTTTTCTTTTTTTTTTAATTTTTTCTCTCTTTTCTCTCTCCTCTTTTCTCTCTCCTCTTTTTTCTTTTTTTTCTTTAATAAAATTAACAGGAACTGGATTAGTCTGCAATTGAAACAGATCTTCTGCAGAAAAGTCAAGGCAATAGTATGAGATTAATATTGATAATTTAGAGCCTGAATAAATGAGAGAACAAATGGCCTCAATTTACAGTGACTTCAGTGGAATTTCTTAGGACTGGACTTTTAATAAGTGAAGCTCTTTTTAAGGATTGACTGATAGTCTGCATGTTCTGCACATAGAATATGATATAAAAATTATATGCCTGATCCTAAACAAAAGTATCTGTTAAACGTTTTGTTGTCAGCTATTTGAAGACTCAATGATGTGATTAAACACACTATACTAGGTCTGTATACCTGCCTGTCTATTGATCTGTCTCTTTTAGCTCCCAAGAGTATCATGAATTTATATTAATTTATGGTTATAAGATAGTTGCATAGGTTCAGGGAAAGGTTAATATAGAAAAGCAGGGGCTTAGATAACAAAAACGTGCGTGCTTTGTGCAGAAACCTTAGAAGTGTTGATGTTTTCCAGGTAATTGTGAAAACAAGAACAGAATATCAGCCTGACCAGAAGAACAAAGGAAAACTCAGAGTGCCCAAAATTGCTGAATTCACAGTCAGTTTCACTGATGGTGTAACAGAAAGGCTAAAGGTAAGATATGGTTATTCTAGTACCTTATAATGCAAGTACCATTCATTTTAGGATAACTGAATCAAAGTGACAGTAAAGACATAACAAATTTAACTCTCCACCCATCACTAGGGTCAAAGAGAGGTTATCTGCATGAGTGTAAAGCTTTTTCTCTTCAGGCAGACATGAAAATACTCTCACAACTAGACCTACATTAGGATATGGTTGTCTTCTCTCAGGAGAAGTTGTGAAAATGTTTTCCAGCCCAAACTGAAAGTGAAAAAGGTTTGAATGTGAATTTTTTTTTTGTCTCAAATCATTTGTATTCATGAAAAAAATCAGTACAGATTGGTGGAAACAATTTGTTTCAACATTTAAGAACTCTTTTGGTCTGTAGGAAACCAACACTTTTAATATTTAAAATGTTTTACTATTGTACAGTTTTAATATTACAGATGAAAAGTCATTTCAAACTAGATAACAGAAGAGATATGAGAGATACATGAGAGCATATCCTGTACTGCAGCAGTTTTAGTTGAAAGGAGGTAGAACTTTCTGAAGAAAAATGTTTCCTTTGACAATTTTCCACAAGTTGTACTCAAACGTGGGGAGCAACTCGTGAATTATTGAGTGTACCCAGTTCCTGCCTACTGCAACAAATTAGAATGGCTCAGTTCCTCCTAAAATCAGACTCCAAGCATGTAGCAGCTAGCATTTCCTCCTGAAGACATGATCCTCTTCCTGAACCACAGAGCATGTGAACGATAAAAAATGTAAGATTTGTTTTCACATTCCCAAAGTCAAAGAAAATATCACTAATTTAAATAAAAAGTGTAGACGGATTCAATAGGGAAAAAGACTTTTAAGAGGTTGAATCTAGTGCCTGGAAAATAGTCCTGACCCTTGAATAGCTAGGATTGGGCTTGTAAATTTTGCAGAAGAGTATATGATATTTTCTTGGAAATCAGCAGGAAAAAAAGCAGGAATTAACTCAAGGAACTGAATAGTGTCTTATTCTGTCCAGTTATTCTTATTTTTGCTTAGAAACTAGAAGAAACAGTTTTCTTCTAAATTAATAGAAAATAATTATAATAAACATTTCTATCACTTTCAAAACTGTAACATGATCCAGGAAAAAGTATTAACATTCATCTTTGATAAACTTCAAGATGAGACTTGTTCAGCTTATTGAAAGGAGAAATTTTAAGCTACTGTCTTCTGAAGCACTACACAATGGCACTGTTTTCTGTTTTTCCAGAAATTCACTGACATATATTTAACTAGGGTAATTCTGTTGCTTCAATCCAGGCTATTTAAATCCATGATTTATTTTAACATGTGAATAAATATTTATAGCTTCTGTTTTTTTTTTTTTTTCCAGCAGGCATAACATGTTTCAATGTAAAGTACTTACTGGGGCTTATCACGCTGTTCATTTTTGACTGAATTCTTCATTGATCTGTTCTTCATAGATCTTATAAGAACTATTGCATAGTTCTTATTTGCAACCAATAGTAAAGCTCCATAGGTACCACTAGTAAGGGAAATGCTGATTTAGCCACAGCTAGGAAACCACACTCTTGGAAACTACAACAGGCACTTTGCAATGTGAACAACATATAAATCGGACCCAGACATGATATACCGGAGAAATAGCAGTAAAATCTATAGTTTCCTGGAAGTGATATTTTGGGCCAGTGACCCTTAATAAATGGCGTTATTGTTGATATTGTAAGTAACAGTGCATCACTGGGTGTTCAAAATTTAATGCTGCAGCCCTGAACAGTGATAACATCAGCGCAAGACCAAGCTTTAATCCCATTCAAGGATCTGGCCCTGTTATTTAAAAAAGCAGCCAAGAACACCTCATCCTTACCCACTGTGCACATTGGAGGCCCATTAGTTAAAAGTGTCGCTCATGCACTGCAATAGGTAAATCTCATTTCATCTACTTCTGCTATGGAGTATCTTATTTTTTCCAACTGCTCAACCCCCCAGCTTGCTTTTGCATTCAAACTCCTCTTTTTGAAGTATCCTTTTTTTTTCCCTCTCCCCTTCATCTTTTTGGTTTAGCTCTTCTGTTGCTTGCACTCGTGGAGGCCAAGGGCAGCCGGCGCAGGGAAGCAGGGGGCCCTAGCGGCGCTCCCAGCACGGACACCCGTCACGTGTTCCCCTTCGCAGCACGGTGGAGGTTGCTGTGGGAGCTGTGTCTCTTCCTGTGCAGCCTGGCGGCATGACAGTTTCATTTTTTAAAGCTATTTCCTTTCCCTAAAGTCCATATGATTTTCATTCTCTGCTCTTCAATGCCAACTTATTAATCACTCAGCCTCTTGCCTAATGCCGGATAAGACTCTAAGCCTCTCCCTGCCTGCTTTTCATAAGGCTTCCATCTATCGTATTAAGTTTGTAGTATTATTTCCTGACCAAAATGAGCTGAGAGAATAGGTAATATTTCATTACCTTTTGTACTCTCTTTTTTTTATTGCACCACATTTTTACGCTGGTGCGTATTTTTAGTGACGTTATTAAAAATACTGCCCTCTGGTTATAAACAGGCCTATTATCTGGTACTGATGAAATTATTTTACATTAGTTTTTTGTAAGAGCAAATCATAGTAAATGCTTAACTTTTATTATCTCAATTTGGCTATACCTTTAAAAACTTTTTTTTTTCTTTAAAAGACAGTATAAATGAGATCATCATATTTTCTGTTGCTGGCTGGTTGCTTTGTATAGCTTTCCAGTAAGTGGTGCATTGGAAATATCATCCACATGCTCTTGCTAATGCACTGATTAAAATTAAAGTATTCATATATACTTCAGCAGCTTGTTGGTAGTTGTACAGTGGAAGAAGCAAGTGAGTCATCTCATTGATTTCTGCAAGATAAATGATGAACGCCAAAGGTCCGTCCAAATGTAGGTGCACTGATATGTGTCTCAGTGTCTTGTACCTGAATGCTGGGGAAGGAGACAGGACAATAAGAGCGTATGAAGAAGTAGCCAAGAGTGTGCTATTGCACTGCTTGGAGTCTCAGAGAGTCTTAGAGAACATGCAGTAGGTTGTCTTGTATTTTATTTTTCATCAAAAAGCTGAAATTATCCTCAATTCAGACAAACAGAGCGAAGTGAATCTCCATCGTTAATTAGTTTGTGTAGGATAGGGAAAAATGCTGCTGGTACTGCATATTTATGACTGTGCTCCCCACTTACCAATAAGCTCTTCGGAGTGGTTTTTCACATTCCTATATCAATCTGGGAAGCACTTTTCTTTCCTCTCACTTTCTGGTCATTTGCTTTGGGAATGTTCTCAGGGGAGAAGGATTTTTTCTCACTAAATTCTTGTTTTTTTCTGAATCACGTAGCTGCATTATAAAGAATAGCGGAAATCTTTTCTCTGGGGGAAATTTTGGGACCTTATGAACGTGGCAGTCAAATCCATGGATGCCCTTTATTTTGCCTTTTGGGTGTCTTTTATTGAAGAGGCTAATAAATTTTCCACTTTCTAGCATGACCATGCCAAAGCCAGAATCTAACCTTATGCATGCATATTTTTCATCCATCCAGAACAGTACAGATCTGAGCTCTTTAATTATCGTAAAGAAGAGACTGTCCCTAGGCAATGGTTCTTATTTCACACTACTTCTTCCGGGAATTTTAGATAGCTTCTGCAACATGTCACATCCCCTAATAGATGAGATTATGATTCTCTATAGCTCAGCACACAGTGTCCTGGAAGTCTGATCAATTAGGCTTATTCTTCAGCTGGATGAGTCACCCCATATATACTTTATAACAAATGTTTAAATAGTTGTGTGTGGATGGGTTACAAGAAGATGATGTTAAAACAGCATTATGGTTGAGCCGTCCATACATAAGAAATTTCTTTCATCGCTTTACTCCTCCACAGAGAAGCAATGACAACACTTTTCTAAGCTGATTGGCAGTGATTATAGACCTTGTCCCTTCCAAACTGTTTATGCCTTTGGAGAGTGTGCCTCTAGGAAGTTTTTAAACCTCAAAGACCTCATTTTGTATCAATAATGTATACCAAGGTCTATCAGTTTGGAAGTGAACGGTGTCTGGTGTTTGCTTTCCATTTTGCTTGTTTTCAAAGTAGTGCATTTGACCATGCTTTGTCATCCAGTGGTGATACATCGGTGTAGTAGAAAGCGTGTGCAAATGTGATGGATGACTCCATCCAGCTATGCTGTTCCTTTCTGGAACAGCAGATCTAAGCCCATATATTTGAGGCAGGGCTTACTGTTTCTTTTGCCGATGATAGCCTATGTTATAGCTTTTGAGAACAATCTCTGATATGTAAGTATCATCATTCCTATGAGTTTCTACCTTTAGTTCTTTCCATCAGCGCTGAAATGAGATCAAATACTCTTTTGCTTTTCTTGCAGGTTATCCATTGACTCAAAAGTCTTATTACTTCTATAGGACAAGGTTTCCAGTGACTCCTTTTGTCTCTTTTCCTTGCAATGTATTCAACTAGTCCAGATAACATAGAAGCCAGCCAGAAGCTTTTATGAGGTGAAGAGTGGGCTTGAAGGCAAGCTTAAGCCTTCTACCCGCTTTCTTGACTGCGACTTAGCTGGAGCTTGGGTTCAAGACATCAGCACCCTGCATGAGAAGAAACAAGCAGGAGAACAGGACAATAGCTGCTGATGGATTTTGTGCTTGACCCAGTCAGACTTCATGAACAGGAGTGTAGGTAGTCCTGTGCTAGTCCTGGGTTTGCCCAGATTTTTCCATTTCCCTTAGACTCCACTGGAGCCTGGGCTGGAGAGGCCTTTTAGCACAGGCTTCGTTAGAGTTTGTAACATGGGAAGTGAGGCTGAATCTACATGTAGCTGCCAGTCAGTTACTCGTTTTGCGCAAGTTGCACTCTTTATTACACTGTGAGTTCACTGCACGTCCAGTTTGACCACTGTTATCACTAAATGCTCTAAGAACTATTCGTTACTGCCCTTTCAGGGATACAGTGATTTAATGAAACAGCTGTCTGATAGTTACCT